AGACATCCTGGAGTGTGAAGTCAAGGGGGCCTTAGGAAGCATCACTATGAACAAAGCTAATGGAGGTGATAGAATTCTAGCTGAGCTATTTCAAATCCTAAAAGATGATACTGGATGCTGTGAAAGTGCTGCATTCAGTTTGACATCAAATTTAGAAAACTCAGCAGTGACCATAGGACTCGAAAAGGTCAGTTTTCATTCCAATCCCAAAGAATGTTCAAACTACCACACAATTGCACACATTTCACACACTAGCAAAGTAATGCTCAAAACTCTCCAAGCTAGACTTCAACAGTACGTGAACTAAGAAGTTCCAGACTGTCAAGACGGATTTAGAAAAGGCAGAGGAACCAGAGATCAAACTGCCATCATCTGTTGGATCATAGACAAAAAAAGAGAATTCCAGAAAAACATCTACTTCTGCTTCATTGACTATGCTACAGCTTTTGACTGGGTGGATTACAATAAACTGTGGAAAATTCTTAAAGAAATGGGAATACCAGACCACCTTACCTGCCTCCTGAGAAACCCGTGTGCAGGTCAAGAAGCAACAGTTAGAACCAGACTTGGAACAACATACTAGTTCCAAATTGGGAAAGGAGTACATCAAGGCCGTATACTGTCACTCTTCTTATTTAATTTATATACAGAATACATGATGCAAAATGCCCAGGCTGGATGAAGCTCAAGCTGAAATCAAGACTGCTGAGAGAACTATCAGTAACTTCAGATAAGCAGATGACACCACCCTAATGGAACAAAGTGAAGAGGAACTAAAGAGCCTCTTAATGAAGGTGAAAGAGGAGAGTGAAAAAGATAGCTTAAAACTCAACAATCAAAAAACTAAGATCATGGCATCTGGTCCATCACTTCATGGCAAATAGATGAGGGGAAAAAAATGGAAACAGTGACAGTGCTTTCTTGGGCTCCAGAGTCACTGAGGATGGTGCCTGCAGCCATGAAATTAAAAGATGCTTGTTCCTTGGAAGAAAAGCTATGACAAACCTAGACAGCATATTAAAATACAGAGACATCACTTTGCCAACAAAGGTCCAACTAGTCAAAGCTATGGTTTTTCCAGTAGTCAGATACAGATGTTAGAGTTGGATCATAAAGAAGGCTGAGCACCAAAGAACTGAAGCTTTCAAACTGTGGTGCTGGAGAAGACTCATGAGATTTCCTTGGACAGCAAGGCGATCAAACCAGTCAATCATAAAGGAAATGAACTCTGAATATTCACTGGAAGGACTGATGCTGAAGCTCTAACACTTTGGCCACCCGATGTGAGGAGCTGACTGACTCATTGGAAAAGACCCTGATGCTGGGACAGATTGAAGGCAGGAGAAAGGGACAGCAGAGGATGAGATGATTGGATAGCACCATTGACTCAATGGACATGAGTTTGAGCAAACTCTGGGAGATAGTGAAGGACAGGGAAGCCTGGTTTGCTCCAGTCCATAGGGTTTCAAAGAGTCAGACATGACTCAACTACTGAAAATGAACAGTTTACATTTTGTATGTAGTTAAACTTCACTGCATTTCCACTGGTACCAATAAATAACTGTTATGAGAAGGCTGGTAGTTCTGATTAGCATCCACACCTCACCGCTTTTTTGGTATGCTTTACTTTCTAAGTTATATGATTTCATGCATTTTTGGTTTTTTCTTTTTGTTATCATAATTACTATCAAATGACTTCTACTGAGTGTGCCAGGTATGGTGATGAACACTCCATATGCATTATTGGACCCAGTTCTCTCAGTAAACCTCTGAAGTAGGTACCATTATTGCCTCCTTTTTACAGATGAGAAAACTGAGGCACAAGTATAAGGAATATATCCAGGGTTACAAAGTCAATTAGTGGCACTGCTAGGATTCAAACCATGATTTAACTCCAAAATATAAGCTCTAAAAATTTTGGCAAACTAAACATAAAGCTTATTATTTTAGCCATTTTACAACTCAGTGGTATTTAATACATTCACATTTTTTTGCAACCATCACCACTATTTAGTTCTAGAAAATTTTGTCACTCTAAAAGGCAACCTCACGCCCATCAAGCAGTCACTCCTCATCCCTCCCCCACAACCCCTTATCTGTTTTCTGTCTCTTAAGGATTTGCCTATTCTGGACATTTCATAAATGGAATTATTTAATATGGGATCTTTTGTGTCTGTTTTCTTCCACTTTTCATAATGTTTTCATGATTCATTCATGTTGTAACAGGTATCAGTACTTCATTTCCTTTTTTGACCAAATATTAATCCATTGCACCACATTTAGTTTATCCATTAATCAGTTGATGCACATTTGGTTGTTTCTACTTTTTGTCTATTGTGAAGCTCTAATATGAACATTCAGGTAGAAGGTTTTGTTTGAACACCTTTCAATTCTTTTGGATAAAAATTATAGGCTTTTGATCATAAACCACTGTTGACTCCAAGAAGGAAAAGACCAGATATCTTAAAATCTTCATTCAACAAATATTTACTGAGAACCTATTATTCAGCTACCTAGAATGCTAAGCACTGGGAATGTAAGTTACAATGAATAAGACAGACATCACTCCTGCCCTCCTCAGGAATGACAGAAAACTGAGTAGGTTAGTAAAACACAGACCTGGCAGCAGTTAAGATTAAGGGTTCCTTTTCCATTTGCTATATTAAAGGAAAGTCAAACCTGGTAATAATGCATCTGAGCAAGATGTTATAATGGAATGCTTTTGGATGCAAGAAACTAGTACAACTAAGACTAGTTTAAAGGCGAAGACTATTCCCTTCACCTCCACTGAAAGTATCCTAGTCAAAGTCACTATCATCACCTTTTCCCTGTAGCTCTGCAGGAATCTTCAGCTTGGTTTCCCTGCATCCAATTTGACCTCCCACCAACATAGTTCTTCACATTACAGCTCAGGTGGCCTTTTTAAACACATGCTTATGCTTAAAATTTGCTTCCCACTGCTCTTAGAATAAAGACCATTTATTGCCTTGTATGTGTGAGCTTAGTCGCTCGGTCGTGTCTGACTCTTGTGATCCCGTGGACTGTAGCCTGCCAGGCTCCTCGGTCCGTGGGAATTCTCCAGACAAGAATAATGGAGTGGGTTGCCATGCCCACCTCCCAGGGATCTTCCCAACCCAGGGGTCAAACCCAGGTCTCCTGCATTGCAGGTGGATTCTTTACCATCTGAGCCACCAGGGAAGCCCATTTACTACCTTACATAAGTCTGAGGTAGGAAGTTTCCTGATTGTGATAAGTCAGCAGCTCCACAGCATCAAGGAACTAGGTTTTCTCTATCCTTCTGCTCTGCCATCTTCAGCATCTTCATAGTCACAATAAGGATAAGCAACTCGAGGGATCATGTCCTCCTACATAACAAGGACCAAAGTACAGAAGTGGAAAGATGGCAGATCCCACCAAAAAAAAAAAATGTTCCCTCTAAGAAATTCTCCAGAATACTTCCCCTCAGGTCTGTTCTGCCAGATTTGTACCAAAAGCCTATTTCTACAGCAACCATGGTAGGGGAATGGCAGTACAAAGAGTGATTTAAGATTAATCAAATTTGAGGCTGGAAAGGGTCCAGTTCCCCAGTGGGGCAAACAGCTACCTGATGCACCAACAAAATACAGTTCTGGGAAAGTGTAAGAGGGAAAGGAAGAGTTGTAATATAGGCAATGTATAAAAGTGTCTCCATGAGTGCCTAAGCAAGAATTCCTGGAGAAAGTCCAATTCATGTTCTCCTCTGAACTTCCTCAATTGAATAGAACCACCAACCAAACAAAACAAAAACAAAAACCTTAAATCTCAACACATCCAAGACTGAACTTATGAGTCTCATCAAAGTGGTCTCTTCTAATGCTTTCTTTGTGCATAGCACCACCATTCCAGTTGTAAGAGCCAGAAAAACAGGAGTCATCATAGTCTTTTTCCTCACCAGCTGTATCTAGTGCATAATCGAGTCCTGTTGATATAACCTCAAAAAGAGCTCTTGGATCTACTACTCTCTTCACCTCCACCGACAGTATCCTACTCCAAGTCACTATCATCACCTTTCCCTGTAGCTCTGCAGGAATCTTCAGCTTGGTTTCCCTGCATCCAATTTGACCTCCCGCCAACATAGTTCTTCACGTTACAGCTAAGGTGGCCTTTTTAAACACATGCTCATGCTTAAAATTTGCTTCCCGCTGCTCCTGGAGTAAAAATCAAAATAAGGCCCTCCCCCAACTCTTCAGTCTAGAGAAGGAAATGGCAACCCATTCCAGTATTCTTGCCTAGATAATCCAGTGGACAGGGGAGCCTGGTGGGCTGCTCTACATGGGGTCGCACAGAGTCGGACACGACTGAAGAGACTTAGCATGCATGCATGCATTTGAAAAGGAAATGGCAGCCCACTCCAGTGTTTCTGCCTGGAGAATCCCGGGGACAGGGGAGCCTGGTGGGCTGCTCTACATGGGGTCGCACAGAGTCGGACACGACTGAAGAGACTTAGCATGCATGCATGCATTTGAAAAGGAAATGGCAGCCCACTCCAGTGTTTCTGCCTGGAGAATCCCGGGGACAGGGGAGCCTGGTGGGCTGCTGTCTATGGGGTCGCACAGAGTTGGACATGACTGAAGTGACTTAGCAGCAGCAGCATCAACTCTTCAGTCAGTTCAGTTGCTCAGTCGTGTCCGATTCTTTGAGACCCCACGGACTTCAGCACGCCAGGCTTCCCTGTCTATCACCAACTCCCGGAGCCTACTCAAATTCACGTCCATTGCGTCAGTGATGCCAACCCTCCAACTCTTGGCAGTTCATTTAATTGGTTTTCTTTGAGCTTGAATGGTTATATTCCACTCCACCTCAGACTTGTGCACTTGCCACTACTCCTGGCCCTTGTTATCCTTCATATCTCAGCTTAACCGTCATTCCCGTGGGAAAGCCTCTCCAGGCTTCTTAAGTAGGTCATAGAGAAGTCTGTGCTTTTCCTTCAGGGCACTTTTCTGCCTGAAGACTAAGATCTTGAGAAACAGGGAGCTAGTCTCTCCTACAACATAACACCTGGCACATAGTAAGTGTACACTGTATAGTTGTCGAATCAATATACACACTTCAAAGAAGAGTGGACGATGATAAATGTGGACCCAGTCCCAGAGAAAACGCAAATGACGGCCGTGACCCACCGGCATGGCCCAGCAGCCTGGACCACAAGATTCGTTGCTCCTCCCAGCAGCTCCGCCCCTTGGGTCCAGCCCCTCCCTGCTGAGTCGTGGGGCGGGGCATAGAGGTCGCCTGACGTGACAGCAGCCGGCCTCTGATTGGGCTTCCAGGCGTGCCGGCTAGGGAAAGGGGCGTGCCCTCGTGCGCTGATTGGCTGGTGGGAAGCAGCTAGGCGGGCGGCGGCGGCGGCGGTGCGGGGGCGGGCACTGGGAGGGACGGGACTGGGCAGGGCAGGGCTGGGAGGGCAGTAGCTGCGGGTAGGATGGGTCCTCATCGCCGGCTTCGCTGAGACTCGCTCGCGTGGGCTGCCCGCGGCGGTCCCGCAGTGGCCGCGGCGGCATGAAGGGCGCTCTGGGAAGTCCTGTGGCTGCGGCTGCCGCAGGCGCCGCGATGCAGGAGAGTTTCGGCTGCGTCGTGGCCAACCGCTTCCACCAGCTGCTAGACGATGAGTCTGACCCGTTCGACATCCTGCGCGAGGCCGAACGCCGGCGCCAGCAGCAGCTGCAGCGCAAGAGGCGCGACGAGGCGGCGGCGGCGGCGGCCGGGGCTGGCAACCGCGGCGGCAGGAGCCCGGCTGGGGCCTCGGGCCACAGACCCGGCGCGGGCGGCGGCCGGAGGGAGTCCCAGAAGGAGCGCAAGAGCCTCCCGGCCCCCAGCTCGCAGCAGCCAGATAGCCCAGGGGGCGGCCCGCAGCCGCCCGGTACGCGCGCCCGGCCCGGCACCTGGGTGTCCCAGGGTGGGCGCGGTGGGCGGGAGGGGAAGGAGAATGGGGTCATGGAGGTCACCCCTCCTCAGCCGCCCCAGGACCTGCTACGGCGAGACTGGGGTCGCTGGAACCTGTTTCAGAAAGGGAAGGGGGCGCTGGGAAGAGTTGACCGAAGTTGAGGGTCCCAGTGGCTGAGGAAGGTGGAGAAAATGACAGGGTGGGGGAAGTGTCACGCCCCTTCTGGCCTTTCCCAGTCCCTTCTGGGAGCGAAGGAGAGTGCAGGCTTGGAGTAGGGGGCTTCTGAACGGTGGGACTGAGCCTTTACAAGTTGGGCAAAGTTGAGGGATATTTCTTGGGTGGTGTATGTGGACTAACACTGGGGTCGCTGCCCCAGGGCTCTCAGATCTAAAACTAGCAGGGACCTTCTCCATCCTCCAGCCCAACCTCTGCAAGATTCACGTCAGGAGGCAAAAAGAAGCGTCGCGGGAAGGAGGGAGGGGAGCGCCTCTTAGGGAGAATGGAGGAGGGCGCACCCGGCCCTTGGGGGTGGCAGCGAGAACTCGGGGTGTGTGAAAGGATCGCCGGGGTGAGGAGCTGGGGCCTCTGTGATGGAGGGAAGGCCTGGGTGACCGCGGGGGTGGACTGTGACGTCAGGGCCGCGAGCAGAATGCGGCGGGGCTTGATGCGGGGTCCCCGGCGCCTTCCAAGCTCTGTGCCTTCCCCCATCCATCTCCCTTGCGGTGGCTTACAACAGTCATCCCGCACGGGTTTTCAGTAGAGCACGTAGTGTTGATGGCTTGTGTAACTTGTCATTAACTCAGGCTGCTTTAAGAAAAAGCGTTTTTAACCTTTTCTACGAGAATATTCAAAGTTCCCCACTCTCTGCTTAGCCAGAATGGCCAGTGCAAAGCTTGATGTACTACTGACGGCATCTAGGCACGGATGGTGCTTAAGAGTCGTTTCTCACCTGAACCGCTTCAGTGGTAAAGCCTCCAAGATTCCACCTGTGTTTTCTCTGTTTTCCAAAAAGAAAATAGTGGTCCTAAGGTTTCCGAAAAAAGTTTTAAGATGCTTGATTCGACCACTCCAGCCAGTGTTTGGCAGTGTATTCAACTCGGCTTTACTGGCTTGTTCCTTGCTTGATGATAATTGTCAGCCCAGTCCTGAGAGAATAATTCCTGACTTGAGTGTTGGGGCCTTGACTTCTGCAGCTAGGTAATGTTTACCTTTATCTGTGCAAAGCTCAATCCAGCAATATCTCTTGAGAATCAGAAAATTAAATCATTATAATATTGACAATTACTTTAAATGCTGTTGGGGTATCCTAAGATTTCTTGATAGGCAAGTACATAGATAAGCCTATTTAAACAGTGAGTGATACTTGAGATATATTGTACATTTTGTAAATGTTCTATTTTTCTCTTAAATCTATTTAGGTAAATATCACAGGAATAAAAGAATTGGACAGGCTAAACTTTATTTTTTAACAAGTGAAAATATGTATTATCTTTCAGTGAGAAACGGAATTTAGTTTTCTCTGTTAATGTATTGCCTTTTAACCTTTTTACTAGTAAAATTGTCATGCATTTTTGTTGTATTTTAAACAATTCAGAAGTGTATGAAGTAAAGTGAAAATCCATACTTTTCTTACTGTTAACACTTTGTATTTACACATATAAATGCACAGAGCTACTTCTTTTTTTCCCCTAAATTTCAGATGTTATAAACTCAGTTGCAACCTGCATTTAGCATAATAAATAAACTTAGCATTATAATGTAGTATGCTAATAACTTTTTCTGTCAATTGTTTATAATCCAGGTGATCTGGTTTTTGAGATCTGTATTAAAGAACTTTAGTTAATTTTGTAGTTGGAATGGAAGTTTTGTAATTCTAGTTCTTTTTCAAGTATGTTATTTCAGGAGCAAACAGCTCATTAATTTCCATTTGTGCAGTTACTGTACTGAATTTATCTGTAATGGGTGTTAGAGACCTCTCTAGGTTTTGTAGCCCTAATTGATATGGACTGTACTTCTCTAACACTCAAATACTTTAATTTTATTTGGCTATTAAAAGTGAATGCTTAGTGTAGACAAGAGTCAAAGTCAAAACAAGTTTGACAAATAACAGAAACATTACTCACAAAAGGATGTGAAAATCATAAGATTTTCCCATAGAAATAGATTTTTAATATCCTTCACTATTTAACAGTATAGACCTTTACTCAAAAAATTTATTCTTTAAGTCTTCAGAGGCTGTTTCAGCTTTGCTTTTCCTGGCCTTTCAGAACTTCTCCAAGTCAAAGCTCAACTTTATTTCAGGGAAATCGCACTGTAAATTTTACAGTATTGTGTCTCTTTATGTGGGCTGGGGTTAGATCAGTGATCAGACTGCATATGCCAGCCTTTTATTTCGAAAGGGCTAGTAAAATTAAGTGTTTGCATTATCCACTTGGAGCTGCTGATCCAGCACAGAACGACTAGCTTCAGTTGCAGTTCTGACCTCTTAGTTGTAAGTTGTGGGAAAAACTGGACCTCTATTTTCGTTTTTTTGGATTTTGGAAGGAAAATGAAATGTTTACAGGGTATTGATAATTATTCTAATAAATTGCCAGGTCATATTTAATGCTTTTCAACTTATATACTGAAGCTTTGGAAGACGCTTTAGTATAAAGTATGTAGCAAATGTCATTTTAAGTTTTGAATGATGAATTCCAAATTTAATTGATACAGTTTTAAAAATAACTGGAAGGTGGAAATAAGCTCTTAAGTAATTCTGTGATTAAGTGGAGATATTTAGTATATTCTAAGTTATAGGTTATGGATAGGAAATTTGAAACTGTATTAAAATAACTTTTTACATTGAGGGGAAAGTATTATTACTGTTGAGGTACTTGCTGATGGCTATTATGTCATAGTCTATTACAGTTTTCAACTTGTTAGTTAACTTTCATAATAACATTTTTGCCTTACATTTTAAATGCCTCTTCCAAATTTGGTCTCTCAGTAACATATGTGCCTTTGGATATGGCTTTGCATACTCCTGGACAGCTGGGTATGAATATTGGTCTCTGTTTTGTTTCTGAAATAAAAGCATAATGCTTTATTTATGATAACGTCTTCCCTGTATCCTAAACATGTCACAAGTTTAGATTGTGGCTTCAGGATTCAAATCAGGTTTGAGCATTTCCTAGATTATGGGACATTAACTTAAGGTTGAACTTAGATCTGTTGTGTAACATTTCACATTTCAAGTAATTAACAAGTAATAAATTGTACAGTTTGGTGCTAGTGATGTTGCAAACATGATTTTTGCTTTAAAATGAGATCAGTAAGCGATTGAAACTAGGTTAATACTTACATTTTGCCTCCTTTATAAACTTTTGATAGAAAATATTAAATGGGAAAATAGAATACAGGTAAACATATATTCCTTAAGAGTCATCAGTATCTCTTAAGTAAGAAAGAAACCCAGTAGTTTAAATAATACCCACTAATTCAAATACACTTAATATATTTTTACAACCATACAATGAATGTGAAGGGTGACTTATACCAAGAAAAATCGAAACTACTAAAATAAAAATTTTACCTAATGTTTGAGATGGAGACCTATTAAATGTATACAAGGAAAGAATAAACACATTTTTTGAAGATTATTTAAGAAGTAGCAATGTTCTTCATAATACATTGATATTTACCAAATAATAGATGCCTTGAGACATAGACTCTGCTGAAAATTTTTAAAGTGTCAAAACTGAAAAGAGTGAAGGGAGAACAGAGAAGACTGGAGTGGCCCCAGCCCCAGCCTCCTCACTGCCGGCCTCTCCATGGGCAGGAGATACCCCTTCAAGTGCTGGCCAGCTCTTACATGAGTTGGCAAATATCAACTTGGCCTCATATTTGAGAGGTGCGATTATAAATGTATAAATCACATCAAAGAACAGGAAAATCTGTTTTCAAATGAGAAAAATTATAATGGTACAAACTATTTAAAGATGAAAACTTTATTAGGTAATTAATGATAAACTATAAGTGGGATTCCAAATACAGGGTATTTGTCTTTTACTTTTCTGGAAAGACCTTAACTACCATGTTTTGATAAAGCTGCTCTTGTGAAATATAGTTGATATATATCTTCAACAGCTATCACAAAGTCATTGTGAGACACTTTTAATTGTAGGGTAGTTGCTATAGTTTATCTTATCATACTCTCTAGGACATAAGGGAAAGCATATGCTTCAATGGTAATGTCAGAGTTTTATTAAAAGACAACTCTGGGCAGTAGTAGTATCAGCAACTTTTTTTCTTCTCTGAAGTTTTCCAAACTTCCCAAATTTTCCTATGACATTGGTTTCTAGAAAAGTGAAATTTAAAAGTACCTGTAATAACGGGCTGCTGCAGACTTTGGGTTCTAGTTCTCCTCTGTGATTTCTCCCTCTCAGGCCAGAAGAGACCTCCCAGAAGAG